TGTGCTTGATGAAGAAGTGCATGTTGAACAACCTAAAGGTTTTGAGTTAAAAAATGCAGTCACAAGGTCTACAGGTTAAGAAAAGCATTATATGGACTTAAATAGGCACCTAGAGCCTGGTACAGTGAGATTGATGTATATCTCTCTCCGTGCAGGTTCAAAAGAAGCACAAGTGAAGCCACATTGTATACAAGATCTGATAATGAAGGAGATTTAATAATTGTCTCAATATATGTTGATGACATTGTCAACACTGGAAGCAGTGAGAAGATGCTTACTGAGTTCAAAAGAGAGATGATGCAGAGGTATGAAATGTCAAATCTTGGACTTCTACATCATTTCTTGGGCATGGGGATACTACAAACTGATCAAGAAGTATTCATCCGTCAAAGTAAGTATGCCAAGTCTCTACTTGTGAAATTTGGACTTGAAGACTGCAAACCAGTATCCATTCCCTTGCCCATTGGTGAAAAGCTTAAGAAAGTGGATGGGAATGAATTGGCTGATAAAGAACTTTACAGAAAAATAGTGGGAATTTTACTGTATTTAACAGCAACTAGACATGATCTAATGTTGCTGCAAGTTTGCTATTAAGGTTCATGAATAGTCCTACCAAGAAGCACATAGGGGTTGCACGAAGGGTGCTAAGATATGTTCAAGGGACCTTCAACTATGTCATTAAGTATGTTAAGGACAAGTCTACAATTCTCATTGGATTCTGTGATGCAGATTGGGCAGGAAGTGAAGATGATAGCAGAAGCACCTCTGGTTATGCATTTAGCTTTGGAAGTGGAGCATTTTCTTAGGCATCTATGAAACAAAACACAGTTGCACTATCAACTGTTGAAGCTGAGTATGTCTCAGCATTTGAGGCAACAACACAGTCCATTTGGTTGAGGTTTGTTCTTGATGATTTTGGGGAGATGCAAACTGAGGCAACACCTTTGTTATGTGATAATATGTCAACTATATCTATGGCTAAGAATCCAGTTTTTCATCAAAGAACTAGACATATAAACAGAAGGTATCATTTCATAAGGGAAACTTTGCAAGATGGTATGATTGATTTGCAATTCTGCAGAAGTGAAGAACAACTTGTAGACATTTTTACAAAGGTTTTGCCAAAGGACAGATTTAATCAATTGAGATTGAGGCTTAAAGTTAAGCTAGTAAGCAGCTTAGGAGAGGCTATTGAGAATTAAGCTGCATACTAAGCTTAAATCAACCTGCAGATGACAATCCTGCAGATTGAAAGTGAAGAGAATGAAGAATTCGAAGAGATGAAGAACTTTCCTTTTTTAGAAATAGTCGTTAGCTTTAAACTTGTACTAGCTAGTTTTATTTCCTAACCTACATAGTTGTTATTCTTAACAGTTTGGGATCTAATGTGTTATCCGATACTCCTCCAAGTGGAAGAATGGTAGCCTCCGATGGTCTAAATGGCTGGAGATTAGTCATTGCTCCCTGAAAAATAGGATCTGAGCATTTGACTGATTAGATGAATATAGGCCTGTATTCTCGGAGTTTTTCATATAGAAAAAATACTGAACATTCTCATTTGCTCAGTGTTCTTCTTTCTTTGCATAGATTTTTTGGTTTAAAGCTTCAATCTTTGTTGTTAATCAACCTAAAACATAAAGCCTGATACCATTTCAACATTCACCACATAAAATTTACTAACAAATTCAGAGTACAAGTGTCACATCCCGGTCACCCATCCTGGGAGTGCTCTAGCCCTCTACTCGCTTAACTTCGGAGTTCCTACGGAACCCGAAGCCAGTGAGCTCCCAAAAGGCCTCGTGCTAGGTAGAGATGGAATATACATATAAGGATCAGTCCCCTGGGCGATGTGGGATGTCACAATCCACCCCCCTTAGGGGCCCGACGTCCTCGTCGGCACATTTCCGGCCAGGGATAGGCTCTGATACCAAATTGTCACATCCCGGCCCGGGTGGGACCACTTCCCGGGCCCGCTCCACCACCGTAGCACGATATTGTCCGCTTTGGGCTTACCATTCCCTCACGGTTTTGTTTTTGAGAACTCACGAGCAACTTCCCAGTGGGTCACCCATCATGGGATTGCTCAAGCCCCCTTCTCGCTTAACTTCGGAGTTCCTACGGAACCCGAAGCCAGTGAGCTCCCAAAATGCCTCATGCTAGGTAGAGATGGAATATACATATAAGGATCAGTCCCCTGGGCGATGTGGGATGTCACAACAAGCAACTTGACTGACCTAGCAATGTCAAGCGAAAACTTTAATGCTGATTTTGGTCTTAATGCACCTTTCCTTTTAAGATATGCGCAAAAATCTCCCTGAAACGGTAAAAATAAAAGCTCAGATGAAAAAGAAATCCAACAAATATGTTGAATCTTTAAAAATAGTGTATGACACTAAACAAACACATAATACATTTGTCTCATCATGTGTGCCTACAGGCTGCAGCGTGTCAATGGCCCATTTATTCGATTTCTCTTATTGTAACCTCAATGCAATCCAACAATTTCGGCATTTAAAACTCCAAGTCAGACACCAAAAATCACACTTTTTGGCTAAAGGGCCAAATTAGGGGTGGGCACGATCCAGTTTGACCCGATTCCACCCTTAAAATGAAACTAGAATTGGAAATTTTCAACGGTTCAGTTCTGCTTAAATTTATTACTAAAACCGTACAGTTTGGTTCATGACGGTTCCAGTTTGGTTCATACAGGTTTACGGTTCTAACCAAAATTATATATATGTTTTTTTTTTTTTCTAATTTTCTACTTCTAATACCAAACATATATTTCAACCACAAATTCAAGTAAATTTGAGTTTCCACTACTAGATCTACAAGATTTGTGACTGGAAGATAGAAAGTGTGCATATAAATATAAATCAAAAGATAGAAAAGCTCATACCAATACCAAAATATAAATCTTAAACTAAAACTAAAATGTATATAATGCATAATATATTGGAACAGAATGGAGAAAAATAATGTATGGGGAGAAAAGTGATAAAACAACAAAGGAGGGGGAGAGAAATGAAGAAAAATATTGGGCTTATGCACATGGTCTTCTTGGAAAATGTCTTATTTATATAAAAATAATAATAAAACAATAATTTATATTAAAAGCGGTTCAGTCCGGTTCTTCCGATTCTTAATATTTCCAAACCGAAATTGGAACCGTTTGAAATAGTTCGGTTTGATTTTTGTTCCGATTTTGACTTTTTTGATCAACGCGATTTTTTCTGATTTTTTTTGTCACGGTTCGATTTGGTTTTCCGATTTGGCGATTTTTATGCCCACCCTTAGGCCAAACGTTTGGCTTTCACTTGGTACTAAAGAATCTCTTATCCAAATTATAACAAGTCAACATCAAATACGCAGATGCAAAATAATGAACTGTGGAAGACTTAGGAATGGACGATGATATTAAAAGGAAGACATAAAGCAAAATTTTCACATGTTTCAGTTAACCTTGGTTAGATATTCTGTGACAATCATCATTGGACAGCTTTGCGTTACAGCACCCAAAAATTGGACAACATTTGGATGTCGTATCTTCTGAAGTAAAGCAAGCTCATCCCTGAATGCATTTCTGATATTTCATTAAGCCAATTAAAACTCCAGCCGAAAAGAAAGACTCGAGACCTTTTAATTCATTATCTAAATTACAACAAAAGTAAAGTAGAGATAAAATTTCACACAAAAGTTTATCATAAAGACAAACTTACACTTTATCTTCATCAGCGAATACTTTCTCCCCAAGCATTTTAACCGCCACTTGAATTCCACGCCACGATGCAATACGATAGGTTCCCTAACATACATTTCATATGCAATCAAAGATCAATATCACCATTACACTGCCATACTTAACTTAATCGATTGAATATTTTCTCGTAAACTAATTCATTGTGTCATAGTGAACTTGAATTTAATTAGACCTAAAAAAAAAACACCAATGCCGACGTGATAGACCTTTCCCATATGAGACTTACGTTTGTTATCTCAACACTACTGGAGAAATCAAGTTCATTGGGATTAATCTCATACTCGGGGACTTCCCGTGCGCTTTGCACATGCATGGGAGCCATCTAATATTTGCAAGAACCACAAATTATTCAATTTTTAGAAACGAAAGAAACAAAAGAAGCAAACTTTGCACACCCAAACACAATTAGATGACATAAAACCAACTAATTACCCGAGGCTTGGCGCCGTAATCCTCCAAAAGTTTGATCACGTCATCGTTTTTGTAATACATTGCATCCGCAAAAGGCTGTTCAACGAATAAATCACTCACAGAGTCACTACATTATTAGCAACCTGTACATACAGCATATATTTACATACATATATATACATACACACACGCGAATGTAGTAAAGTGACAAAATTTGGAGTGAACTTGCTTACCGTGCTGCCCCAGCGATCACGCGGGTCGACATCGGCACCTTTTTGGAGCAAGAGCTGAACGACGTCGGTTTGGCCCTGGCAAGCGGCGACGTGGAGGGCGGTGCGACCGTCGATGTCAGTGAAGTTGACATCGATGCCGGAGTCGAGGAGCTCCCGAATGGCGTCCAAGTCGCCCTCGTTGGCCATGTACAAGAGCCTCACGCGAGGGTCAACCGGCTCCGGCGTCACCGAGTCGTCCCGGTCCGGCGCCAGCGACGACTGCTTCATCAGAGTGAACCGGGCCCCTCCTGCTGATTGCTGGTGCTGTAGCATGGGTTCCATGTTTGGAGAAGGAGAACTGGGAATTGGGTTGTGAAGGAAGAGGGGAGAGAGAGTAGGTGGGGATTATCAATAAAGTGGGGAGGACTAAAGCAGGATTGAAAAGGGGTAGCTGGCTGCTTAGAAGAAGAATGAGAAGAAACAAAGTAGATATTCTCACACTCGTTACTAACATAGTAGATGCTGGCGCCGCCGACACAGAGAACCTTATCTCGTGTGTACGGTCGGGCGCGCATGCGTGGCACGGGCCGCTCAATAAAAGAGCACGTGTCGATATTCCACATCGGCATAGTGGATGTTAGTTAAACAACCAATAGTCGGTTTGCCTTCTTAAACCCACATCGCCATCTTTTCTTCCTGCATTTCTGCTCTCAAAACTCTCAGTCTTTTCCCTCAAAAGCTCCGCCGTAGAGAAAGCCACTATACGCTTTTCCCAAAAGGCTTGGGTTTTTTTTAGAGAGAGATGAAGATACAGTGCAATGCTTGCGAGGTGGCGGAGGCCAAGGTGCTGTGCTGCGCGGACGAGGCGGCGTTGTGCTGGGCGTGCGACCAGAAGATCCACGCCGCCAACAAACTGGCCAGCAAGCACCAGAGAGTCCCTCTCTCTTCCTCTTCCTCTTCCTCTCCCATGCCCAAGTGCGATATCTGCCAGGTCTGAACGAACTCCCAGTTTCAACTTTCAACTTTTTCTTGCTCTTATATTCATTCAAAGATTGTGACTTTTTGATGATATTTTGAGGTTACGATGCTACGTCTTAGGCAGTAGCAACAAGTCGCTACGTCTAACTCAGTATTACATATTTTATACAATATTTAAAGGTCGCAAAGATTCATTAGATCTACACAAAATTTAACTATTGATTTTTCAGACCATTTCATTTACTATGGAGGAAAAGTTAGATATTTTTGTGAAATTCCCAGGAGGATCCTTGCACGATCTTCTTTGTGGGGATCGTGGAGATTCTTCAATCATATTCATTTATCGTACATTGTGTGGTAAAAATCATTACAAATTTCTTTATTTAAAATTAAATATAAACAGTACCTGACAAAAACTGGTCATATGATCGACGGATATAATTGGAGGATCCTTGAAATCCTCACAAAGAGAATCCGGCGAGGATCCTCTCTCATTTCATTCCTTTCATTATTTTGTGTTTAAAATTCCAAAGTAAATGTTGGGTTTGTTAGTTGTGCTTACATTGGTTAACATGAATTAGCCTGGTTGATCCGGGTCAGACCGGCCGAGTTCGAATCGCTGTCACACTAAATTATAATAGATTAGAATAAAATAGTCTTTAAGAAAAACATTATATTCGCAAACATGGGTTCACGCAATTGGGTTAAGAGTAGTGTGTCCGCCCCCCTCAACCAAGTTTGAAGGTTGTTGATCTGCCTCTTCACTCAAGTTTAAATTACTCTCGTGATAAATTAAAATGGTTTATAATAGATAAATTAAAGTAGTTTATAATAGATTATCGATGTGTTGAAGAAAATAAGTTCATACTAGCTTTGTTTATTCTTCTATGTGAAAGTGGTTTGTTGTAATTGATTGAGATAAAGATTTGTTATGCTGTTTTGATCAATTAAAACAATTTTCTTTCATGATCCATGTCACATAATAATTCGAAAATTTAATGGTTTAGATCTTACAATTATTAAATTTTACATAAAACTAGATAGTACTGATACGTAACATTAAAGTCGCATTAAAATTCTTTTGTTGGGTTGTAGTTTCAAATTTAATGTTTGATGTGATGTGGGATGTGACTTGGGTCACACACTAACTACCCATTTGCTTTACTGTCATTCGTTTCCTATAGTATTACAAAGTCTGCTAGGAATTGAGTGCAGAGTATTTATACTTGGAAGTACAGATGTTGGAGACTTGGGGTAGAACTGTAGGGACATCCATCCGTATGTCATCACGTTACACCAGGTTAACTAATTTCGGTCATTGACACTTGCACTTATACAGTTTGGTAGTTGTATTTATACTTGGAAGTACAGATGTTGGAGACTTGGGGTAGAACTGTAGGGATATCCATCCGTATATCATCCCGTTACATCATGTTAATTAATTTCGGTCATTGATACTTGCACTTATACAGTTTGGTAGTTTACACAAGTCGTAACACTATTAATATTTTTACACTCATTATATTGTTTTACGTGTTCATTAACCCATGGGTTGGCAGGAACACGACACAAAGGTAAATAGGTAAACCTGAGCGTAATCCATTGCCACCCCTGCACAGCCCTTTTAGAGGCAGACCAGAATGATATGCATGCTGGGTTTTATTACTTTCTAGTGATCTGCAAACTTTACCTGACATATATGATTTGTTTGTGAGTTGATCCATGATTTTTGTTTAAAGAGCTCAAAAGTCGCACAATCTCTCAAAAATGAAGTGCCCTTTTGGTAGGGACCGCTGTTTTGGTGGTTCACGTCCGTGACGTTGTAATTGTTGAGATGCATGAAGTAATCTACATTTCCTTTTCGGTTGCAGGAGATGGTCGGATACTTCTTCTGTCTGCAGGATCGAGCTTTACTCTGTCAGAAATGCGATGTTGCCATACACACAGTAAACTCGTATGTTTCCAGTCACCAAAGGTTTGTGCTTACTGGTGTGAAAGTGGGGCTTGAAGCAACCAAACCATGTATCTCCACCTCCACCAAGGAAATGTTGACTTCTGCGGAAACAGTTTCTGAATCAGCATCGTCGCGACCAATAAACAAAAGTCCAGTAGGTCCGTTTGTTGGGGAGATTAAACAAGCATTGCCTGGTAAAGTTGACAGTATTGGAACTGGTGTATCAGGAAAATTACCGTTAATTCAAAATGCTAACACCTCCGGTTCCGGGTTGAACTTGGAAGAATTTCTTGGTTTTACTGACCCTAATCAAAATTTTGGGGTCTTGGATCGCATGTCGCCCAAGGTGTGTGTATATATATGTATATCTTCTTATTATTTTTGTACGAGTGTGTCATGCTGAAACCATGACCGCATCGATGTTTTTAACGAACAAAAATTAGTTTTAGTTTGCAATGACATCACAGGTTCACTTTTGCAGTTTGATGTCCAAACGCTCACGTAGACATAAGTTCTAGTGTTTGGAAACGACCTAATGTAGTTTTCGGCTTCTTACAGGTTTACAGCAGATACTGCCTCTGATTGTTTTTTTGGTTTGAAGCTGATGGAGGATGATTCAGGATTGAACCAAATTTCAGAAGGCAGATTGTGATCAAGTTATTTTACTTTTGTGATCAAGTTATGTGAGGTGAGGGAATTAGGTAGGTGTATTAGGCAAATTATGGTAATTGGTAAGTTAGTATGTAATTTAGTTAGCATTAGTTGGTAATTAATTACTCTTAACCTTTTTTTTGGTCATTAATTACTCTTAACCTATATACATAGTTGCATATCTCTGAATGTGGGGCATGTAATTTAGTTACCATTGATTGGAAGTCCATTTTCACTAGCAACATAATATCTGACTGTGGGACATAAAATCCAAGTAGAGGAGAGAATTTTCCGTGTGTCCCAAATACTAAGCGGAACATCACTTGGTCACACAATTGGAAGGATTTAAAAAAAAAAAAAAATCCTTTAATTGTATAATGACATGTTATGTTTCATCACGTCTTTCCGATACACTAAAAATTTTCTCCAAATAAAGTAGTTGCTATTTGATAGAGTTGCGATGCCACCAACTATGGAAATAAATTTGTAGAAAAGTTTTGAGAATCACATTTTCTTCTATTTTCTTGCATAAAAAATTATCATTATATAAGAAAATTAATTAGTAATATAAACTAATAAAAAAATTACATAAAAATTACACTTAGAAGGAAAAAAGTAAAGTGAAGTGTGATTCTCATCAAAGCTTCTCTAAATATTTATTTTTATAAAATGTGGTTCAAAACATATCGATCTACTTGTCTTGCTTTGCTTAGTTCTTAGTTGTGAAAGGTTTTATCTTGTTTTAAGTTAGTTGGGTTTTTTGTTCTAAATTATTAAGTTTGAAGTGTAACGACCCATCTTCAATTATTACAGTTTTTATAATTTTAAAAGATGAATGTACGAAAATGCCCTTCGAGGCGAAGAAGTTGACTTTTGTTGATCGCCTTGTCGGGTCACGTAAGATTTGTTTTCTTAGCGTATCTTTATAGCACTCGTCGCTATTAGCATGTGGGCGCAAGCGGAATCGGATTTGGAGTTACGATGAATGTTTTACAGAACTACGAAGTCAAGGGGCAAAATAGTCAATTCACTATTCTGGATATTAGGATTGAATATTTTAATTATTTTAATATTAATCTGTCACGTGGGGCCCACACCCACCTCTCATTCTGCCACGTGTTCCCCACTCCGAGTCTCTCTCTCTCTCTCTCTCTTTTTTCCCTTTCTCTCTCTTTTTTTTTTTTCCTCTCTTGGCCCTTTTTCCCTCAGACTTTCCCCTTTCTCTTCATCACTCAATCTCACACCCCTCATTTTCTATAGAACCATCACCGGCCACTCCCACTCACCATACTCGCTGACGAGCCTTCACACTACCAAATCACCACCATCACTTCATATTTGGGCATGAATCGAGGACAAGAATATGTGGGAAAACCAACTTGAGGATTCTCGACCTCTGTAGCGAACACAAAGCTTTTCCTAGTGAAACCTCCACTGTTCACATCACATGTTAGGTAAGCTTTGAGGTTCATCATTTTCTCCTCTTTTTTGATGTTTAGTTCGAGTTCCAAGTTGGCATGCTTGTTTTAGTGAGCTTGGGATGCATAAACAGCTAGGTTAGATTTCCCAGTTTCCAGCAAGAAACCCGGCGACTTTCGAACTGTATTCCGACCAACTCCGGCCATGTCACGGCTTCCAATAGGTATATTTCAAATCCTCGTCTCTCTAGTTTCAATTTGAGTATTATACGTTGAGAATGATTGAGTTTTGACCTCGATTAGAGCCAGGGAAGTTTCCCAACCAAAATCCCAAGAATTCCGGTTTTCTCCTTCGTTGAGTCTAGTGACCCGTGAACCTAATCGGGTTAACCCGACTTGCGACCCAAAATCAGGCCCAAAACCTGATATGAATTCCAGCCCAATCCATTAATCCAAGCCGCCTAATAACCAAGCCCAAATCCATAACCCATTAACCCTAACCCAGCTACCAGGCCCAACCTAAAAACCGACCTAACCCAGCAGATCTGACCTGGACCCAAGCCCTGTTCCACGGTCAACGCATGGGTGTGCATCATGGCCAGCGAGTGTAGCACACGCACCTCCGCTAGAGGTATTGTGACGGTGACTGTTTCGGCGAACCTTCCAGCGACTCAACTCGGTGCATGGGGGAACATGATGTCCCTCCTTAGGTTTTTCGACATGCCAAATCCGAATTCGCTATCCGTTTTCCCAAATTCTGTCGTTTTAGTAGAGTTTTACTAAATGGCCTCTATATGTGGTTAGGTGCATCGATGGGAAATGACTCATTTCTCGCTAGCTCGAGCGGTTCTTGGGCAACAAAATATCTGTGAGTGCACCCCTTCTTAATTGCATATTTTTATAAAATATTAGATTTGCAGGCATTTCATATTTCATGATTTGAGTATGTTTTCCATTATGTTTTACGGAATGCTATATTTATGCTTTACAGAGAATTTACGATTTATTTAAATTGCTTTTACGAAATATTTATGATTTATCGAATTATGTTTTACAAAACGTTATGAAGTATTGGATTTATGCATATGATAATTTTACGGATTTATGAATATGGTTTATCATGGTTATGATGAGGCTTTGGGCTTTGAGCTTCGGATTGATATGAGATTTTTGTGGTATGTTTTCATTGCTTATCTATTGAGTTATTGTGAAATCTCGTTCCTGGATTTCACTATTATAATCTACGTATTTGTATTATTGAGATTTCATATTATTTCTTGAGAACTTACGTTAATTTGTTTGAATTTAGATTTTAACTAAACTAGTTACAAAGTTTGAAGTTTGAAAATCAATTGTTTAAAATCTGTAGACCTTTGGAGGTCACAATTTATATTTTCAAATAGATCTTGAAACCACGAACGTATAGGCAAAAGCCGTTTGCTAGTCCGAATTATAGCGGTATAGTTACGAACATTTGAAATTGTTTTACTAAACTATAGATTTTAAATCGATTAAACTTCCACAAGGAAGAAGCCTAATCAGATTTAAGCAAAAATAAGAGGACCAATCATCTTGAAGGAGAAGGACCAATCAAATAAAAGGGGGGAAGGTTTCTGAAAAAAAAGAAAGGAAGGAAAAACGGGCTGCTGCTAACCCATTTTGGGGGCGAATTGGACCCGTTAACCCACAAACTTGACCCGCTTGTATCTCCTTCATCCGAGCTCTGTTTTGGGTGATCTTGGTGTCCATGGAAAGCTCTTGACGAGCCCTACATCTTTGTAGTGTTAGATTTCCCATTTTCTTTTCCATATTTGCAGTTTAAAGCCACAAAACCCACGAGTTTTCCGGCGGTTTTATCATTTTTCCGGTGATTCTGGCAACCCTTTCCTTCAAGTGAGGTATGAAACTTCCTATACTCTTCATAATCTTCAAGTTGATATGCTTAGTTTGTGCTTTTGTATTCATTTTAGAGTTGGGTGTTTAGAACCCTGGAAATTCGGTTTTCTTCGATGATTTTGGACGGTTTCCAGTTTGAATTTATCGTAGGCTTAGTTGTGAAAATTTTTCTTTTGTTGAGCTCGAGCTACCACATAAATTTGAGCTCATTTAGTTAATGCTGAAAATTCAGGTTTTCTAAACCCTCCACCTTGGCTCCCACCACGTGTGGCGGTGTGTGGGACCGTCCACAAGTGTTGTCTAAGTACCAAATACCTTCTAGTGACCCTATGAACCTATGTCTAGCTCAGTTTCCTGAAATTCAATTGTTTGGTGTAGTGATCTAATTGGACCACCACTTGTTTGTGTGATTGACGACAATCCGATCGTTGGATCGTCGTACAATTTTGTGAGCACCCTAGTTATCAGTTGTTGGACCTTTGAGAACTTATGGATCGGAAATCTGATGTGTGGATCTTCCGGATTGAATAACCTTAGATTGTTGACCTTAATGGATCTACCTTATCGACGGTTGACGTTCTAGTCAACATGCTTTACTTTAGAGTGTCCTTTGTCTCTAGTTAGTTGTTGAGGCTTGATGGAGCTTAGTTGGCTCATCATGATGACGTGTTGTTCCCAGTTGACGTGTGTCTCGTTATATGTATTTGTGGCACCATATTGAGTTATACTTGTTTATTAAATGTGCTTTCTATTGAAGTGTTATTTTTATTTATGGCCATTGATAAATTTTTATTAAGTATGATTTGACTTGTGCATTGGAAATACGGTTTGTATTGTATGATTGGATTGATGTGATGAAATGTGAGGGCTAGTAGTGGACCGTTAACCCATTGGCATGGGTGGCAGTCTAACGAGGTTGTTAGATGCAGTCATAAAATGTACGAAAAATGCTATGAAATTTGAATCTTGATCTATACTTTGTACATATCCCGGAGGCGGGGTATGTTAGATATACGGGTATTTGGTGGCGTCACGTGTCGATCCTGGACGTATGTCGGGATCGGGGCATAACAGTTATCATAAAGCACATACACACAACCGGGTATGTAGATGTCTATGGCCATAGGATACAATTGATGAGATTTATGGCATACCTCCAGCTTCACTAGCCCGAGGCTAGTGTCGGTGTGATATGTTATATGTATATGTTTCTTCTTTGGCGTAACCCAAAGTCGTACAGCTTCACCTTTGGGTGATGGACCCTATGTTTCTTCTCTGGCGTAACCTAGAGTCATACAACTTTACCTTCGGGTGATGGACCCACTACATATACATTTATATGTGATATCATATTCTTTGGTGTAACTCGGAGTTGTACAACTTCACCTTCGGGTAATAGACCATGGTTTCTTCACTAGCGTAACCCTGTGTCGCACTGCTTCACCTTTGGTGATGGTTATGCCTTTGGGCCACTATGATACCCCTAGTAAGTACAACATTGATGAGATTTATGGATTTACCTTCAGGCGGTGTTATCACATTTATTGAGGACGAATGTTTTCTTGGCATGTTAGAGTTTTAGAAACTTACTATGTAGTACTATATATGTGTTTTCAAAACAGGGGGTTAGTATGTTAAAAAAAGGAAACGGTTTTCTTATTAGTATTATTATTATTATAGACTTTGGTCCATTCACCCTTTTGTACTGCGCCACCTTAAGAGTTAGAATCAAGGCACACAATCCCCGTGGCAGGGCACTTCCATTTAGGTATCTTCGTGTCCCCTCTATGTAGGACCCATTCTTCGGTTCGTACCTTTTCATAATAAATCTTTCATATTATTCTTGATGAGTTGTATGCTTTGACCATGGTTATGCATTAGTATATTTCTTTCTAATCACACAT